TATTATTATTATTATTATTATCATTATTATTATTATTATTATTATTATTATTACTACTACTACTACTACTATTATCATTATATTAGTATTATACATAAATAATAATTACTTATTAATTTTAGTAATCAAAAGAAATTCTTAGCTCGTAATAAACCCTACATCAAAAAGTTTAATACGGATTCAAAAATTACACTTCAAGATAATAAGAAAACATATTTGAATATTCAAGAAAATGTTGGGACGTTATTTCATTTCTGTTTGATCCAATAAATAATAGTAATACAGTACGTGTCACTATCAGAAATCTTGTCTACAGGTACGGTACCCGATCCAGCATTGTCATTGTGTGTCTTTGATCATCTGTCACCAATATAATACACAAGAATGCTTTACAATGGGTGACAACTTGCTGAGAATGTAGGAGGGGCGTACATAGATGGATTGCGTCATTGTATGTGAAATTTATAAGGGACTAAAAACTTCTATGCCTTGCTGGCTAAGCTAAGTGGCTTCATCGAGATACAATGGTAGTATATTTGACTGTGGTTCAAAAGGTAGTTGGTTCGATTCCAACCGAAATTAGCCACCGGCGCCATCCACCCCTTTCGTCTTTTTTATACCTTGTTTAATTTGAATATTTAAAAAATTCAAAACTATAATAATTTTGGCATTTATGTTGATTTTTAAAACTATATTTTCAAAATAAACATGTGTGCAATTTTAAGCTTTGTGTATGCTATTTTCATTTGAAAATATTCTATATTTTCAAATTAATAATAATATTTCCAATATCAGTACCAATCTTTAGAATTACCCCGTACCGTTAGTTGTGGGCTTAAAGCCATGCTCAGGAGGAAAAAATTTATACGTAGTACATCTGATTTTTTTCTAAACAAAAAGCATATTTGACAAACAACTCGGGAACGAAATAATGAGATACAGATTTTTGAATATTTCAAAACTGAAGGGGTGGGGGGTGTAAGGGGCATAACCACCCCTTTTTACACTTTACTGGAGGGCGCATACGGCCGGCAACCAGCAGTGGTGAATAAATGCACTAAGTGCATAAATGCACTACCGGTACCTAAAAGAGCGGATATACAGTAGGCCTATATGAAACTCAAGTAAAATATTTGGAATACATTTGAACACAGAATAATCATTACAATAATAATGATGATAATATTATAAATAATAATACTGATGATGATAAGTAGAATGGTATATAATGGTATTCGCACTCGGGAAGGCTCCCGATTCGACCGGCCAATCAGCATCATCGAATCTGTCGGTGATAGCGTGTAGCGATTGTATGGAAACCAAGCTTAATATAATAATTATTAATAATAATGAAATTAATAATGAAAGTAAGAAGTATAGCCAAAAAGAAAAAGATGAAATTAATGAATGAAAAATCATAATATTTGTGGACGTTGATGCGATCTAGAGATCTAGATAAAAATTAAAATATAAATAAAGGCAGTGATTTTCGATGATAGACAAAAAATATTTTCAAAGCAAAGTAAAGCAACAAAACAAAATTGCGCCAGTAGCGTACACATCGAGGTTAAAACTCGTCACACTTGCTCTGAAGGTTTTACTTTCGCATACATAAATAATATTTATATAAAATTATAATAATTTATCTAAAATTCTAATAGTTATTATATTGTTTTAATGAGTGTTACAACACATATAAACATTAATATGATAATTATTATCATCATCGTCACTATTATCATCATCAGTATCATCATCAACGTTATTTGTAAAACGAAAAAAAAATGTATTTCAAATGTACAAGAACAGACCTCGAATAATGATAAATTTTTAATTTGAAAAGGATATTTTCATAAACAAATTACAAGCTTACAAGCTACATTGATACGTGAGAAGTACAGGTTATAGTACAGTATTACATTAAATAAAATAGGCCTAAATAGATAGATATTTATCTATAACATTTTTGCTAAAATATTTCTTTTGTACATTTTTTTTATGTTAAATTAATGTTGTTGTGTAGCAATAATAATAGTATTATTTATTTTAGTATTATTTTTTAGAAATGCAAGAACAACAAAAACGTTTTAAATATGCTGGACATACATAGCGTCATTATCACTTACCATATAATACATATAACAACACTGCGTTACAGCATGGAAATTTGCTGAGTAATGTACGAAGGGAACTACACGCAGGCGGATTGCATCATTCTATGTGACTTTATAAGGGACTAAAATGTAGTTCCTTTGGCTGGCTAAGCTAAGTGGCTTCATCGTAGTACAATGGTAGTATATTTGACTCTCAATCAAAAGTTGTTGGTTCGAATCCAACCGAATATAGTCCCAAATAAATTTAATCTATAATTAAATAATAATAATTACAGAGACATCTGTGCGGCGTTTGTTCTAGATCGGTGCTTATTAAATTATTGTAGTGTTTAATGGTACCATTATTTACATATAGATCTAATTAATTGTCTTTGTTGTAGCATAAGTAGGTATTTTATCAGTAAGAGATTGGATATTAAATAGTAGGCCTATCCCAATGTTAAGAAAAAAATAAATAAAATCGATATGTTATTAAAATGCTGCAACGGTGTATTAATAGAATAATTTGTAATGAACGCCGCGTCGCCGCCTGAGCGGCAATTGGCGAATAATCACGTTTGGTGCGTCGCTTATAATAGTTGAGATAGATAGAGGCCTATCTTCATTATCCTATTTTCATTATGACTACTGCGATACTTAATTTTATTTAATATTATTGTTATTGTTTCTTTAATATTAATACTAATAATAATACTGTACTAATTGTAACACTACTAATAATATTAATGATATTACAGTATATTGATAATTCTGAGCTAAGCTGTTGGAGGGCAGGTTAGTTTAGTCGGCTAAACCGCTCTGGGTCCCCGGTTCAATTCCCATCGCTGCCTCTCCTTGTGTTTCAGCTAGAGGGCTGAAATACAAGTTACAATAGCGCACAGCCTTTCGGATGAGACGTTTAAACCGTTGGTCCCGTGTGCAATCAAATCAAATCATGTGCAGTACACTCTTCGGAAAAGAGAAGGGGGTTGTCTCCCGGTGTACTGCCACCAGAAGGATCCTGAAGCAAGTCTTCAGACTTCCTGAGTTATCCTTTGTGTGATTCACACAGACGTACATAAGTTATATACGTATTATACTTATTGATAATAATAATATTAATAATAATAATAATAATAATAATAGTAATAATGATAATAATAATAATAATAATAATATTATTATTATTAATAATAATAATGATAATAGTAATAATGATTATAATAATAATAATAATAATAATAATAATAATAATAATAATAATAATAATAATAATATAGCTCTCTAGATTATAAAAAGGACTTATAAATGTATACATTTATAAGTCCTTGATTATAACAGGTCTAATAGTAATTGAAACAGTTTTTGTGGTTGTGGAAGCTAGGCCAATCCCAAACAATAAAAATAGAGAGATAAGATAAAAATTAAAATATAAATATAGCAGTCACTTTTGATAGTAAAATAAGTATATTTTCACAGAAAAAGAAACAAAAAAACATGCAAACAAAATTGACCAGACTGCGCCAGTAGCATACAAATCGAGCTTTGAACTCGTGACTTTCATCAGTCGTATCAGTTGATATCGAAGTAGCCACACAGCTTAGCCAGTCGGCAAATCGATGCATTCATAAGGCTTATGAATACAGCAGTGGAAGATGACGAAATATTGAGTAATTGATGACTCAGGCCATGATCAAGGTTAGTCGTATGATATCATGCATGACGAGAAAGAATCCTAAATAATAATAGTGCAATAATAAATAATAATAATAATAATAATAATGAAAATTAGAGGTAGTGTATAGGTTTTATTTTCATATACATAGACCTACATAGCCCTAAATGTAATTATATAAAATTTTAATCATTATGTGTGTAGGCCTATGTATTATAATAATGTACGTTGATAACAGCATTTGTTCCTAAAATTGAGCACTGTTTCTATCATATACCTATATTTGTTTATAAATATATATATGTATATAATATATATATAATATATATAGGTTAATATAAAATAGAGTAGAAAATTATATATATAAACAAATAGATAATTAATAACCTAATTTAAATATCTAATATATACTTATTATCATTATATAAACATTATATAACATATATATAATATGCATATATAGGCCTATCTATATTATATCTTATCTTTAATATCATCTTTATACATGATTACATAATATTTATATTAAATTCTAAAATTATTTTATTTTAACTCACTTGAATACACAATTAAGTTTGTCTCACATATATTTTTTATATTATACTTTTTTATGATTGAATATAAGGGTAGTTAGATACCAGCATCACTAGCATTTGTGAGTTATGAATTGGCGAGCCCTCACTCTTAGCCCGGTTTCCTTTAAGGCCAACTCAGACAGCGTCGCCGTCGTGAGAAATATTAAGCATGTTTAATATTCCACGACGCGACTGCCGGCCCCCGACGCAAACCATCGCGTCTGCGTTTTACTCACACAGACCCGAAGCGACAACAAATCGCGTCGGGCTGCGTCGTACGCACTATGACGCTACACAGTCGCTACAGCGTTTTCACTTCAATCCTTGCTCTGCGTAGCTGTCCCCAACGTAATCGGAAATGCTCTCTGATTCAACTGACCAATCAGCGACACCTAAGGCTTCGGCGGTAGTGTGTAGTGTATTATTTGTTTGTTGTTGTTGTTGTTGGTTTTTTTTGTGGTTTTTTTTCGAAATACTAGCAAATACAGTAAAGTTAGGTAATGTTGGTTTCCTCTGCTGTTATGTTTTGTTATGATATTTCATGGCTGCTTAGTTTTTAGGAGTTTAGAAAGTTAACCAAACATTATACAAATCATATTTATCATTATTAGGCCTATTACATGTGTGTGTGTATATGCATAAGTCTGTTATACAATGTGAATACTGTATAAACTGTATAAAACAAGGCTTAGGTAATATTATTATAATTACTATGATTATGGTTTATAATAATAATAATAATTATTATTATTATTATTATTATTGTATATATTAGCAATCAGTATCATTATTATTATTATTATTACTATGATTATAATTGATTATTATAATAATAGTAATAATAATAATAATAATAATAATTATTATTATTATTATTATTATTATTATTATTATTATTGTATTTATTATCTGAATGTGTTTAGGCTATTTAGTGCTATAAAGTCATTATGGTTATTGTAATATAGTTAAGTTATATGATGTTGTTTCAAGATTACATTAATTGAAATGGTACATATTTAAAAAGTATAACTTATTACAATATTTAGGTTTAAAAAATAAATAATTGTAAATGAAGACCATAACATTAACTTTTGTACAAAAAATTCCGTGCCCCCTGTGAGGCTCGAACTCACGACCTTCAGATTATGAGACTGACGCGCTGCCGACTGCACTACACTAAAGGAAATAATTTAAAGACATGTTAACAGCTGAAGTTTATTTGTCTAAATCCTATAATAATTTAATGGAGATCATACATTTTGATGAAAAAGAAGGTTTACTTTATGGACGAATAAAATGGGATAAACTTCATCCATGGAAGGCTTAAAGTAAGTAAGCATTTTTTTGGGAAATGACACCTTGTCCTTTATATCGGTGGCATACACAAGGGTGATGCATCCACGTTACACAAAATTATAAGAACGCTTACTAAGGCTTAGTATAGCCTTCCTTTTGTTTGATCCGATTTACATCAGGGCTAAGTAGCGCGCCGTGATCGTATAGTGGTTAGTACATTGCGTTGTGGCCGCAATAACCCAGGTTCGAATCCTGGTCACGGCATTGATATAACAATGTCACGGCAATGGTCCTTTTTTATTAATTATACTTTTTTATTGAATCTTTCAATCTAAATTTTAAATTGCATACTGTAATTCTATCTACAGAAGATTTATTTTTTTAATGTATTTTTTAATATCTAAGTCCTCGATAAACAGCCTATTAGGCCTATTACATGTGTGTGTATGTGTGTGTGTATGCATAAGTCTGTTATACAATGTGAATACTGTATAAACTGTATAAAATAAGGCTTAGGTAATATTATTATTATCATTACTATGATTATGGTTTATAATAATAATAATAATTATTATTATTATTATTATTATTATTATTATTATTGTATTTATTATCTGAATGTATTTAGGCTATTTAGTGCTATAAAGTCATTATGGTTATTGTAATATAGTTTATATGATTTCGTTTCAAGATTACATTAATTGAAATGGTACATATTTAAAAAGTATAACTTAATACAATATTTAGGTTTAAAAAATCAATAATTGTAAATGAAGACCATAACATTAATTTATGTACAAAAAATTCCGTGCCCCCTGTGAGGCTCGAACTCACGACCTTCAGATTATGAGACTGACGCGCTGCCGACTGCGCCAAGGAGGCCACTTGTAAGTACGCTTTAGTTTCTCCTATTTGATACTATATTTCGTGATATAAAATCATTACCATGTTGTTACTACACTAAAGGAAATAATTTAAAGACATGTTAACAGCTGAAGTTTATTTGTCTAAATCCTATAATAATTTAATGGAGATCATACATTTTGATGAAAAAGAAGGTTTACTTTATGGACGTATAAAATGGGATAAACTTCATCCATGGAAGGCTTAAAGTAAGTAAGCATTTTTTTTGGGAAATTACACCTTGTCCTTTATATCGGTGGCATACACAAGGGTGATGCATCCACGTTACACAAATTATAAGAACGCTTCTAAGGCTTAGTATAGCTTTCCTTTTGTTTGATCCGGTTTACACCAGGGCTAAGTAGCGCGCCGTGATCGTATAGTGGTTAGTACATTGCGTTGTGGCCGCAATAACCCAGGTTCGAATCCTGGTCACGGCATTGATATAACAATGTCACGGCAGTGGTCCTTTTTTATTAATTAAACTTTTTTATTGAATCTTTCAATCTAAATTTTAAATTGCATACTGTAATTCTATCTACAGAAGATTTATTTTTTTAATGTATTTTTTAATATCTAAGTCCTCGATAAACAGCGCCTTCATAACGGCGCAGGATTACAATTGGAAGGGTGCCGCGTATCTCAGGAAGTCTGATATGAGTTGTAAATTTTTTAAATACTGTAGAAATAATAGTGTGACACAATAATTAAATTAAATGTTATATCACATTAAAGTATTATTTTAAATTAACGAATAGCACTAACGAAACTACCAGTCCTACTAACACTGCTTTTGTGCTTTT